CACTAACTGTTTGGTTCTCTCGAGTTGTACTCGTACAACAAATAATTAGTTGGATTTGTGTATTGGCAAGAGCTATATATTTGTATTAATTGTCAATTGCACAACCATTGAAATCATAGTAGGTATGTGAAAAATAAAATAAAAACACGTCATTGTAAATACAATACCTACTCAGCGACGCATCGAAGGTAAAAATATAATGCAATTATAAATGTTTATTAAATTAAAATGAAACTATACAACTAACTCGATACATGCACAATAAGTGTTCATGGACATTTCTTGAGGAGTTAGGTATAGATGTTAATTTTAAGGTTTAACCGTGATGTGCACTTATTAGTCCGGTAATTAGGTGTTTTTTTTTTTTGTAGTTGAATGCAAAAATATATTTTTTAAACTTTTTTAGGCATAGTTTTTATTTATTTGTATACAATAATTTTTTACATAATTTATTTTCTCACAGGGTCCGAGCTCAATCGTAAAAACAATAGGTATGGTATAAATATAATGTTAATAAACACAATTATTAATGACTTGACATAGGATCTGGCCGTGAATGGTAATTGCTCTAGCTGTGCTTTATATGTGTGTATATATGGAAGAGGAAGTGTCATGAGGCCAACTGCATAATAATATCCAATGGTCTTAATAAAAAACTTAAATAATAAATGTCCGATATAGATATAGTAGTTTTGTAAAAAAAGAAAACGGTCGATTAAAAAAATAGGTATCACATTTTATATATATATATATATATATTATGGCCTATGAACTTTTGAATTGAGTAAACAATTCTAAAAATGTAAATACACGGATTTGATTCTATTGTAAAAATTGATGGGCAAGCTAGACAAATGTTTGACGTTTATATAAATATTAGGTAATAGTTTTAAAATCTTTTTCTAGAAAAAAAAATATATGTATATTTTAAATGTTTGACAATAATTAAAAGTAATAACGTTTCATTACAATAATTACTATACTGTTATTGTTGGTAAATAGTGTAATTTCCATTTTGCGCATCGTCAGGTTAGGTTAGAATAGGTATTAGTGTAATATATTTCTATTTGTTCTATTATTTTAAGACACAAATAAGTAATAGTCAGTAACGTACTAAGATTTGATAAAGAAATCAACGATTTGACACCTAACAATGTTACATAAGAGAAATTCAGTAAAATAATGGTCAATATTAACTACATAGTATTATAGCAGATATGGCCTGGTGTCGGCGTTTACTGTAAAAATTACCAAAATTATTTTCTTAACAAGTTCTACATGCAAACAAATTATAGTTTATTGATTTTTACTCGGTCAACCTGACTAAGACTCCATTTTGTACCAACTATATCTAATATATTTTAGACATTTTGTATCCCAAGGAAACGTTTTTACAACGCCCCTTTAAAAAACAGCAGCTTTTTCAAACTAAACAAAAATTGAGCATTGTAAAAAAATACAAAACATCTTAACGATGACTTTAAAATAAACCTTAAATTAAATCTACTCACTTTCAAATTTATTAACACACATTATAATAATTAATATAGCCTTTATAGGTCCATTACACTTAAAAGCGTATCGAATAAAGTTTTGACAAATTTAAAGATAAACATTTTTTTTTTAAACAGACTTGTGCTGTTAATGAGTTATTTGGAGTTGAATCTTTTTATTTTTATTTTTTTTTTACACTGAAATTAAATTTAAATTTACTAAAATAATTTAATTAAAACGGTGATTAAGTGGATTTCACTTGTAAGCCAACTAAATTGTATACCATGTAATTAGGATTCAATAACTATCGACGAGTAATTATAAATAATTATATTAATCGATACATTTAGTTTAATTAATAGAGGAAATAGACATTACGATATTGTTGTAATAATCGTTAAGTAATAATCATCAAGATGTATAATGACGTTTCGAAAAGAGGTAGGTACAGTTTTAATGAAATTTTTTCATACCTTAAATCAATGTTTCTAGTTTTGTGTTACATATTTATTACATGTGTTACGAATTATTGTGTTAAAAAAAATATAATAGCATTCATTCAAGTGTTCTTACCGATTTGATTTCTTATATCAATTCAATACGACGTGCAGCATTCAAGGCGGGCGTGTCACTGCTTGTGTTATTTAAATGGCAACTATTTAGCTTCTACACTCAGCTCGGCTTTGTCTGTAGACATGGAACACATGTAATATTCTATATACGTATATGTAATACAATGTATATTATTATGACCGATAAGGTTGTTGATGTTTATTTTCTCTGTCATTATCTTTTTAGTTTGTGTACTATGTGCCCATATAGTAGTAATTACTAATTATTTTGTATCCGGTGCAGCAACACGTTTATGTGAACAAAAGTTATTTTTCTTTATCGCCCGCTAAAGAAACTACTTAATTATATCGACATTAATATTGTATTAATACTATATTATCGTGTTTATAAGCATTGGATGTCGAATAAAAGAAAATATTAGGTATTATACAATATAATAATATTTCTGTCTAAGAAAATAATAACGATTAGGTATATCGTTTCATTTTGAAATAATAGTTTTATCTGATTTATTTTACTGTATCTTAAAAAACGTATCAAACATCCGTACACTTTTTTTTATTGTATTTTTCAACGATAAAGAAATGGAACATATTTCATTATATCATGAAAAATGATTTGTTTATTTACACACAACAACATAACATGGTAACGATTTGAAAACAATATAAACAAAATATAGGAAACACAATAATTTTACAAAACAATTATTAAAAAAATAAATTATTACAATAACATTAACGATCAAAAGTATTTACAGTAAATTAAACGGATAGGTTGAAAATGCAAGAAAAGGCAACAGTATTAAGTAGAATCAAATAAATATTTACAGTAAAAATAACAAATATGGGGGAAGGGGGGGGGTAGAAGGTGCAAGCCACAAGGGTACGTTAGAAACCGGAATAATAAAATCCTCTGTCGACGGGCTTGTCCGGGTACGGTTGCTTGCTTCTAAGGCTCTTGGCCTCAGGGTCTTTACCCTCGCGACCCTGGCTCTGTATTCGGCGTTCCCCGTGGCGGTGCTTTGGCCGAAGCGGGCCGCCACGATCGGTGTCCTACGTACGGGTTCTTGGGCCGGTCGCGTTTCGGCGGGTTCCTGGGACGGGCCGCTGGCAACGTCGTCGCCGCCGCTATGGGCTTCGATGGTCGGTGGTTTGACCTAGGTGGCTTCGTACAGAAGTGCGTCAATAATGGCGTTGTACGCACCGGCAACAGTTGACCGTGCCCAGCGGTTCAGACTGGTGGCCAGACAGCCTGACTTCTTGCGGCCGACGTCGTTGGCGTTTACGGGAAACAATTTTTTACAATGTGAGAACAGCTTGTAACAATGATAACAGACCAATGCGGTGGAAAAAATAACGTAACTCATAAGAGCAATTAAATATATGAGAATATAAAAATACATTACATAAAAGAAAAACATTAAAAAACATATAGTATAAAAAATGATTGGCTTTAGAATAAATTTACAAGAAAGACATAGGATTATTAGGAAATATAAAAAAGTTACCAAAATGGAGGAATATAAAAAATAACGGACACAGTCAACGTGGGCGGAATACCAAGAAAAAATAATAAATAATAAATTGCGAAGTGCACTTATACTAGAAATAAAACGATATAAATGAACAAAGACCATAATTAATTGGCATGCAAAATTTAACCCATCCAGAGCCTGTCGCACGTCCGCGGCATCTTCGCCGGCTTGGTCGGCTTTGGACTTGGTGGGTGCCATACGATCTAACACTTTCATAATGCCAATTGACAGCCCGTTCTTCAAAATATTGTACAAAAAAGACATTGCTTTAGGAGAAAAGGTTATTTTTGATAAAGAGAACAAGAGAAATATAAAACATGAAAACGATACACAGTACAATTTTAGACAAGTCAATAGTTACAAAAAAACAACGGCCGTCGTGACGACCGTTAGTTTATTTGCAACATTTGATTGTATAATATAGTAGCCAGACATATTATTATTATATTTGTTTGTTTATCTAAAGTCTTAACACCCCAAATGGGTAACGAGTACAGTTATTAAAAGTTTCACAAAAGAATATACAGCAACAACTTGGGTATTAGGTATACAAATAGAAATAATAACAAATAAATATATACACAATAAACACATGTAAGCTTAATTACTATTCAATATATAATATTTTTTAATTTAATTTGGGAATCAAAAGAAAAATCAAAATTAAGTACATTGTCACATGCATCTAAAATGCGATACTCTGGACTATATTTAATTAAGTTTGTGTAGCATTGTGGTATTAAGAACGGGCGATTATTTCTTAAATTAAAGGTTGGAATTTTAAAGTTTATTTTGCTTAGGAATTCTGGACAGGATAATTTACCATTTATTAATTTATGAATAAAACCTAAGTCGTTGTATAACCTTCTAGAAGCCAATGACTCTGAATCCAATTCTACAGCTAAAATATTAGACATAATATACGTTGTACCCATAAATGCCCGATTGATGTGTGTATGGATTAAATAAAGACAAATAATAAAGGTTCAGCTAAAGTATACTCAAAAACGGAATTTCTTCTTCGGATTTGATTTAATAATATATGTTTTGTGTTTGTGAAAGCGCTTGCTGTATAATAGCATAGAAAATCTAAGGTTATACTGGGATTAGGTTTATCACAAGTTGACAGTACTGTCGAATCAGATATACACTTTTTTAGGATTTGTCAACACATCCGTGTTAAAATAGGCAAGTATTACTACTGCGTTGTATCTCATTAGATTATTTACAAAAAACAAAATGTATTAAACTTTTCATGGATCCAGTGAAAAATTTCCAGAAAACTACTAGGTATGTATACATTTTTGTACACATGGTCTTTTTTTTTTTTAATATCCTGTTTTATACTAAAGAAATAAATCATATCATAAAGAAATGGAAAATATTTTATTTAACAAATTTTTTTTTTTTATTTACACAGAATAACATGGTAACAAACGATTTAAAAACAATTAACAAATAGGAAAAATGCCAAGTACAATAATTATACAAAATAATCAACAAGAACAACAAGCCACAAGGGTATGTAAAAACCCCGAATAGTGAAATCCTTTATCGTTGGACGTGTCCGGGCCTTCTTCTCTAGCTCATAGCGATAGCCGTTAACCTGGCTTTATACTCGGCGTCCACGATGGTGGTGGCTTGGCCAAAGCGGGCCACTGCTCGGCCAGTCGCATTGACGTCTGTGGCTTCAAATGGGACCGTACAGCCTAGGCCTTCATGCATTCCGGACAGCAGTTTGTCTTTGAGGGCCTTGCACGCATTCGAAACCGTTGAGCCATTGCTTTTGGAGATAAAGTTGATTTTTAATTAGATAAAGATTTATAAAACAAAACAAGTCACAGTGAAATTTTAGAATATTGTACACAAAAGCCATTGCAAAGTTGATTTTTGATTAAAGATTCACAAAGATTTATAAAGATTTATAAGAGAACATGAAAACAATACCAAACAAGTCGATAGTTACGATAAAACAATTTGCAACATTTGATTTTATAATATAGTAAATTAATTAACAAATAGTAAAAATGCCAAGTACAATAATTATACAAAACAATCAACAAGAAACAAATGACAATAATAATAATATGAATCAAAATAGGTCTGGAGGTACAAGCCGGATATGTCCGTGCCTTCTTCTCAAGCTCATAGCGATGGCCGTTAACCTGGCTTCATACTCGCCGTCCACGATGGCGGTAGTGGTTTGGCGGAAGCGGGCCACCGCGTTCCTGTTGCTCGGCCGGCCGCATTGACGTCTGTGGCTTCGAATGGGACTGTACTGCCTAGGCCTTCATGCATTCCGGACAGCAGATTGTCTTTGAGGGTCTTGCACGCATTCGAAACCATTGATCGTACCCGACGGTTGAGACTGGCCAGAGGGCCTAGTGTTTGGCGGCCGACGTTGTTGGTGATTGAAATAACAAAATACATTACATAATAGATAAACATAAAAAAACATACAGTATTAAAAATGATTGGCTTTGGAAAGTGCCGAGAAATAAATTGACAAGAAAGAGTAAGGATTAACAGGAAGTATATATAAAAAAGTAACTACAATAGATGAATATAAAAGCTAATGGACACAGTCAACAAATTGAAGAAATCAAACGACACGACTGAATAATGTGCAAAAATAACCAATTTAAAGCCACTGTTCGTGCGTCCATGGGTTTGGCGGCATCTCTGTTGGCTTGGTCGGTAGGTTGGACGTCGGCATTGACTGTTTGCGTATTGGCTTCGGGCTTGGTTTGCGCGATACAGTCCAAGACTTTGACAATTTCAATTGACAGTCCATATCTTTAGTTTATTACCAAGGGAAGATATAGAAAACACGGTGTTGCAAACACCAATGGAAATTGTGGTATCTATAGAAAAAAAAAAAATATATATTAGTAATAATTATTAACTAATTAACATGTTGAAGACGAAAAACTAGTCGATAATAAATGTTGTAAAGATTTTAATTTTTCTGCCAAACTGTTGTCGTTATTCTTTTGATATATTTTAAGACATTATTTATTCGTTTAATTTAATATACATCGTTTAATAGGAAATCTCTGCGCTACTTGTCTTTAAAAACCAAACGACTATTGACTTTGAATTTAAATATCTACAAAGTTACAAGTAAAAAATCGATTATTATTGAAAGTTTCTGAGATTCAAACGACAATTTTAAAATGTAATTTTTACTACCAAGATTTTTCCATGTTTGAATTTTCGACAGCAGCTGTACATCATAAACTTCGTCGCCTTAATTAGGTTTGGCCACAAGACGGTAAATAGTCGGTATAGCAAGGCAATGGTATAATTGTTTTAAATTTAATTATAACATTTTACCAGTTGTTAAAATCAACTGCCATTTTAAAATTCTTGTAGTATTCGTATTACAAGCAATTTAGTATTTTTTATCAGCAAGATTGTTATTTAGTGATAACAAAAAGTGATAACGTTGGCGCACGTATCGGTGGACGCATACAATTTTCCAGAAAAAAAATAACAAGAATGTATGTATCCAGAATGTTGAAATATAGAAAATGAAAAAAATCCAGAAGAGTATCGTACCAGAAACTAAAACATAGAAAATAAATTTAACGAAAATATTATAACGGAAATATAAAAAAAATGTAATTATATATTCACTGAAACGTAATAGTCCGGAAAATGAGAGTGCAGAATAGAAAATATATGTTTATCGCCATCTGGTGGTGCGATAATATCATAGATAATAAAAACATGATTTACACTATAGAATATTATCTTATTAGTTGATTAAAGAATAAAAATTGTTTGAATTTCGAGTTTCATTTTAACAATTTTTTGATATTTTTAAATAATTGTAAGATCTTTTAATACATTTGGTACTGTCTTGTGTTATATGCCGTTTGATGTCATACATTTATACATTTGACCCAGTAGTAAAGAATACACTAGTTTTTTTTAGTAAATTAACTAAATTGACACTGGAAACTTCCTCTAGGGTATTTTTTAAGAATTCACTGAATAGACTATAGCGAATTTATTTAACTATGCTATAAGTTTACTGCCTGAAAAAAACATTTAAATCTATTATAGTGAACCTTGTGCAATCCCAAACTACAAACTCCATACTGCAAATAACTTAACATTCATATAAATTTCTTCAATGAAATAATGAATGTGTCTCGCTGTCCAAACTCTAAGCCTGTGTTTCTGACTCGTTAAAATGTATGTCAATAATTAATAGCGTTTTCAAAGATTCTCAAGTTACTGCAAAATTCTGTTGTGTAATTAATACTGCTTTCCATACAAAAAATAGGTGTTCAAGGTTTTCACAAAAACCATTTTGTAAGTCTATTTCAGAAAAACTATATGAATACTATAGTAAGTTTTCGAAAACATAAAAATTTGTAATACAAGTTAACATTTAGAGATGGCATACAAGTAGTTCGCGTCTCAAAGAAAAACAGATTTCATTAGACTAATGTATTTCTATGAAAATTGTTTGACTTTTTAAAAATCACCAACTTCAATCTATCCTGTCATTTTTCTTGATTTATACTATTTCTCAGGGTCACGTAGACTACTTTCGGTTCCGTTGTAGAGGAGGAAAGAAATTTAAAAAAGTCCACATGCAGGCAATTTATTTCAACCAAAGGGTGTAGCGCTCCACAATGAAATATATTCATTTATTACTGATAACTGTAGCATGTTTGATAATACTGATTTAAAAATTGTTATCTTCGAAACGTTCAGAAAAAATAAAACCAAGTGATTGATCATGAGTACTGTTAATTATTTTAATTTGAGTAAACTTGTAAATGGTATATGTATATATTATAGGCTATGTACCCAAAAAAGTAGTAAAAAAAATACAGTGTGATACTTGCAAATCTTATACAACTAAAACAATTCATATAAATAAAATACTTAACGAGACTTTAAATATTTAGTCACAATGCATTTTTAAAACATACAATTTTTCTGTTTTATTCTGTTAAGGATATACTATTATTATAAAAAAACAAAATATAATATTTATCAAAAGTACATTTAAAAAGCACATAAGTTCTTTAATAATAGGAATAATAGTACAAATAAATAAAAATGTATCAATACATCAATGCATTATACCAAATCTTGTATAACTAAAACAATTAATATAAATAAAATACTTAACGAGACTTTAAATATTTAGTCACAATGCATTTTTAAACACATACAACTTTTCAGTTTTATTCTGATATCGATACACTATCATTATAAAATTAAACAAAAGTACTGTAAAAAGCACATTAGTTCCATAATAATAGGAATAATAATACAAAAAAATAAAAATTTATCAAAACATCAATTCATTATACCATTAGTTATAAATATCATAGATAGCCCGTCGAGACAATTTTCAGTTCTGGATGTCGACACGGGGTGGTTGCTAATAGTATCATTTTTATTTAAAACGATACTTTAGGGCTCACCCCTTGTCGACGTCCAGAACTGTAAATTGTCTTGGTGGGCCATCTATAATATTTATAGTCAATGATAAAACCTATGATTCTGATGATTTATTTGTAATGTTACGAGTAAAAAATAGTTTTTATTCATTATGTTGAAACCTTAATGTCTCTTTTGCTAAGTCTAAAATATTTATTATTAGTGGGTGCACAAAATAATAGCACTTAATTTTAAAAGGTAAAAAATACACGTTGAAAATGACTGTTGCTTTGACGGCACACAGGACATTTTACTATAGGGTCAGACCTAAGAATTGTCAGCATACAGCTATTGCATATCCATGCGTGCCCACATGGAGTAATCATATACCTTATTGGAGTTTCCCTTAGCGTCCTCACCAAACATGTCACACATCTACTTTCATCGTCAAGCGAATCATTGTCATCAATATTTACGGTTTCATTTGCACCCTCAGAAATGGCTACAGGTATGTTAGCAATTAATTCTTCAGCTACTGCAGAATCATCAATCCGGTTATCTTCTGAAAGAGGTATATAAGCATTTGGGTTGCTATTGATCTCTGCCTGTAATGCCCAATTTCTCTGACGTTGTTCATAAGCAGTAGTAGTGTGAGAGCATATTTGCAAAAACTGCCACATATTCATCAGTCCTTGAGAATATTGGCTAGTTGCATTCTTTATACGATTGGAGTTTATAACATAATTTACTCTATAGTTTCTTGTTGGCCTTATATTATTTGACAACTGATTCACTATTGTATGGTAATTCATACGTAGACGAGCTAACTGATCTGTAATCACACAATTTAATAAAGTTTAGAAAAAACTTTAAGCAACTTATGATTATACATATATATAATAAACAAATAATAATTTAAATGTTGTCATCTTGTGAGCGCTGAAGGTGACAACACTGTTGCCGAAATATATTTATACACAGAGTTTATCTTTGGTTTTTATGGTTGAGGGTTTAAATATTTATTCATTTACTATATTTAATTAAGTTTCTTTATAAAAATAATTAAAGTATTAAATTACACATGTGCTTACTAAGAAAAATCCATAAGTTTGGATGCGCCACTGATAATTTTAGTCTCAAACTATTGTGAAAACTTTCCACATTGTTATTAGTGCGCCTTGATAGTCCATGGACAGAAAAAACGTGAACACCAACTTGTCCTATCCAATAACTGCAAGATAAATGATTTAGGCTTAGAGAATAATTGTCTATTATATAATACTTAGTAGTAAGTACAGTTAGCCATTCATAATAGAGTTTGGTTACAATGGCTTTGCGTGGGTGGGTGTGGGAGGCACAAATGTGTAAGGTAAGTGTCCTAATTGCTACACTAACTCTTCAAGAATGTTCAAGTTTTTCTACAGAGTTTTGGAAATTTAAAAAAAGAAGTCCTGGAACATTCCTGAAGTAATTTGTAATGGAATAAATAAATGAAGCATCAATTAAAGTGAAAACAAAATTAAATAAAAAGCAGAGTTGTCTTTCCCTGAATTAAATACAACTGTATTGAAAATATGAAAATTTAGTTTAACTTTATAATATATGTATTTAAAGAGGTTCTTTTTTATAAATGAATAAACTTGAATCAATAGCTACAATTGTATCTTGAACCCCCGAACGTTATATTTATTCTTTGGATATATTGTACGCAAGTTACAACCTTAAGAACCAGATCATTGAATTAACTATTTGTACTTGAAAATTCTATATTAAAATCAATCGACAATGGTATACATTGTAGCCTTCAGCAACTAGCAAACTCAGTTAGCTATGATCAAATTTAAAAAATTGTCATATTGCTTAGGCCCAGGCAAAGCCGGAGAACACATCTGGTTTATATAAACAAAAGATGACAGTGTACTATAACTAAATACTCATTACTACAGCCATTTACTGTAATATGAGGAGAGTCGACCAGTTTCAGAAAGTTGTATGTCCAAACAAACAAAGTTTTTGGAAATAATAAAAAAATGATTAATTTATAATTTATGTAGGTATTAAATTTGGTTTTCAGGAATAGTAGATTACATAGACAGAGAATAATTGAAAAAATGTAAAAAATACCTAATGATGAATTTACCCTCTTTGCAAATTATATATTAAATATAATTCATCAATGGTCTAGTAATAAGGATAAGTTAATATTTTAACATAAAAAATGATTAGTTATTAAGTAACAATTTTCTTTCCAACAAATTTAATTGACATTAAAACTCGAATATAAGATAAAATAAATAGCATGAATGTGAAACCCTTGTAATTCAGATACTATTTCTTTAAAAAAAACATCAAAAGTAAAATTTTACCTTCGGTAATAACTAAATAAACTAGTCATAGGAACTTGATGATTAATGGCAAATAACCGAATGACTTCATACGCTCTCTCTATATCAGCAGCAGGTAGTAATGGCAAAGCAAACAACATTCTCAAAGCTTTTAATGCTTGACCATTAGTATTTATTAAATGGAGAAATCCTTTTTTTTTCATATTTTTCCATACCGCCTGTAAAAATAGAAAATAGTAATTACTTCAATCATACTATTACTATCTACTTATCTATTATTACTGTTGCTATTATTTATAATTTATTTTATTTTTATATTTAAAACATATCGAGGTCTAATTACAATCATACGCCTATTAGGTACTTATGAAATAAACAATAAGCAAATTATGTATTTAATAATATGGAATCTGTTAATAATAAAGGATGTTATCCAAGATAATTTAGTATTACCTTTACCGAAACAGAATTTAACTTTATAATAATAAAAAACGATTAACTCTGCCAAACATCTTTGCAAAATCACTGTATATGACATCATGAAAGAAGCTAAGAATATTGTGGGAAAAATTGAGCAGGTTAATATTTGTTGAGCGATTTTCACGGAAACAATGTTTGATATAGACTAATTTTTTTTTTTTAAATACAGGGTTATTTTCTTAGACGGCAAATCTTTAAAAGTTTTCAGTAAAATTTGAATAATAAAATTGGCACAATAATCACATCAGTTAAACAGTTTTATTTAAATATAAAATGTTTACTGAATAACATCATGATATTTATCTATACTACTACATACAGTTATTACTTATTATTAATATCTCAAATTATTACTAAATAAATATGGTAGCATATTATTATTTGAAGTCAGGGGATATGAAGTGAAATAATTCTGCAAATATAGCATGCAAAATCAATTAGCAAATTCTACACTTCGACTAGTAAAAGTGTAGAATTATATGAAATAATAAATTAAAACTGATAAATATATTTTTAGCTAACCCAAACAAAGAGAATGGCTCTACCGGACATTCGTATAGAGATGATCAAGATGTAAAAAATACTTATTTATCAAATAACCTACTTGATTGTGGTGGAACCAGCAACCAGCAACTCTTGCTTGGGGAAATAATGATATTAATGTATCTCGAAGGGCTGTCCCAAAATCAGTTATTATAACAGATGGGTTTAAATTTGGGACAATATTCGATTTCACAAAATTTAAAACACTAATGTAGGCATTCCTTGATTTTGATTCCATTAAACAATATACAACAGGTATGGACTAAACAAATATAAACATAAAATTACAATTAAACACAACATAAAAAATATTTAATATTCCAGGAATCTTATGTGTATGAGTGGCTAAACAATTTGTTTTCTATATAAGTTATTAACCAAAAAAATAGTTGTCATAGGTACTTTCTATTTCTGCAATTAGAAAAATTGTATTCATTTTTATTTTTGTATAAATATATTCTTTTCTTAACTAATAATTATACGTAATCCACAAAAAATATAAACATGTGAAATATTAAAATAACTTACATGGTTTTGAATCATACAGTGAATAGTTAATAATTGTTTACCCATGTTTGGGGATACAATTTTGAATGTAGCATCAACGTGTATTTCTTCAACATTCGCTACTAATTGAATTAAACCAGTGCAAGCAAATATTAGACTTTGGTGACCGTCAATACATAGCACACAGCCCTTAAATATGCTTTCATTACAGCATGAATATCGTGGAAGTGTTCCATTTTCAAAAAGAACTGCCAGTTCAGTACAAGAAGTTGGTAATTTCGGAAGAGAGTGCCTTCTCGCTATACGCATTATAGATTCAGCTGTTGCCCAAGAATAGAGACTGCTAGCTTCAGGATTCCTTAAAAAATAAAAAATTGTATATAAGTTTTACAAATATATGAAAATAAACCAAGTAGACAATATCGATTAAGATACCTTTCTGATTCTTGATCATATATTAATTTTAATAAACCATTTTCTTTACTGGCTCGCGTTTTTAGAATCAATCTAAAAGATTTAATTAACATCTCATTATTGTCTCTTATTTCATGTCCATTATGGGGTTTGATGATAATTAATGTCCCATCAGTCGATTTTTTCAATGAACCCTTGCAGAAGTTGAGTCCTCGTTTGGCACATTGATAGTAACTACAAATAAACGATTAATTATGTAGGTACAAATATTTAATATTGTATTACTATTTTACAATAATCTACAGGGTAAAACTGGCCCTTAAGTAATCCAAGAGCAGTGTGTTTTATTATTGTCCCTGTGAATTTCAATTAGGTACTTACGTAACGCCTTTTTTCTTCCCCAAATTGTCATAAATGAAACCTCCATGTTCCATTATATAAAATTGTATTATAATTATAAGGTTGAAAGAAAGCGTCCAGCTGACGGTCGTATGATTTAAAATATACAATTTAAATATAAAAATAATGTATAAAAGTATACCTGTAATTAAAAATTGCAAAGTTTCTACAATAAAATATAAAAATATACATAAAATAAAATTGTATGATTCATACAAAAAATGATGATACACATAACTAATAATTACGTGTAAAAAAAGGGTGTTATTGCAAGTTGTAACACCGTACACGCTTGACATCCTTCTGTCAGTAAAGTGGTGGGTGCGGGCTGTCCAGTGTATGTCGATAACACATACCTTCCCTTCCAATACACTTGCAATATTGGGATTCCAATGTATTTCGCGACTATTATTAGAAACAACGACTTGGAAACATACGATAACAACAACAGTAAAATTAAAAATAATGTACGACCCGTGGCCATCGCCGGAAACTGATATGGTTTATTAGTCTGTAGTCAATACAAACTACGGACTTATTTATGGAAACCCCCTTAATCTAATTTTACCGTACTTTAAAGACGACTAAATCGCAATAATATCCTATCTAAATCCGACAATAGTTATTGAACAAATATTGGAGTTCTCCCTTGATGTATCGATTATTATCAAACCGGATTATTTTTAAGAGGGCGTCACACCACTTTTTTTCGGCGCGTAAAACATGTCTCAGGATATGCAATTTTCTGGGAAACCGAGTGGGTTTAGCGTATACTTGCTAATGAACAAAATTAAAGATTAGAAGTTTATCTACATATTAACATAGGTTTTTTTCGATTATTTTACTAGAAACCGAGTTATAGATCTTTGGAGTTTTCATTTTTCAATAGCGTATATCTTCATTTTAAAACATTTTATCGAAAAAAACCTCTGTTAATATGTAGATAAACTCTTCATCTTTAATTTTGTTAATAGGCAAGTATGCGCTAAAACCACTCAGTTTCTCAGAAAATTGCATATCCTGAGACATGTTTTAGTAAAATTTTAGTAGTTATTAGTGCCAGTTTGTGGCGATCCTAGCGGCGACTTTAAAACACATGCGGTGTGACGCGGCGGCGGCAGTGGTGGTGGGGGCAGCTCCTAGCGGGTTGCAATTCACGTGAACACGAAGGCGGCGGCCGCCGACCACGACCAAAACCGGTTTTAGACGGCAAGTAATAATATAATTTTTCCTATTGTACATTTCTTCTTATCTACAATAGTTTTATTTTTATTTTATTGCATTTATCGATATCCGATATTATTTCTGTTACCTACTTTATAATATTCTAAAATACTGATTTTTAGCCCGGTCCGGGTTAGGTGAGCTGTGCTGTGCTATCCGTACGCAGTACCTTTAACTTTGAACTACTTTAACTTTTAAACCGCTGTACCGATTTACGCGAGTGGCACATCAATCGATCAGTAATTGGACATAGTTGGTACATAGAGGGGTAAGATGATTTGGAAAAATCTACTTCTTCCCCCAAAAATGTTAAAACACAAAAAAAAATGACCGGGTAGGCGTTCGCGGCGGCACTGTGTTATTACACAAGCTCGCGCGCATTTTCGAATAGTATAGCTACTGTTTATTAAAATTTATGAAACAACGAACAGAATAAAAAATACAATATCCAACATAGTTTGAATCATTTTGATAGCTTTATTACTCTTGTTGTAATAATGTATCATTGTTGGATAAACGTATTGGTACTTCGTACTTACTTATTACCTATTCTATGCGAGTACGCGTCGACCAGTTTCAAAAATAACTTAATTTCACATAATAAAATCACTACATATTAAAAAACGAATTCGTTTAAATTGTATTTATTAACTTTAAATTATATTTAGTATAAAATATAATTGTACTAATATTTAAATAGTTTAAAAAAGTTACTAATTATATTTTTTTTTACACAGACTTGCTGTAATTTAGCTAAAAATAGTGAAATCGACTCAAATCTAGTGTGGTAATTTTATATGTATTATTATAGTAAATAACGATACATTTAAAAATGAAAAATATTTAATTTACAACTATAATAAAAAGTATAATTTAAGTACATTTATACATATAGGTTATTGTTTAAGTAAAGTATAAAATAGTTTCAACTTTTTTTACATTTATAGGTATATAATAATATGTATTGATATATAAATATATAATAAAATACAATTAATTTTACGGTCTACATTATGACTTATTTTTCACGCATAAAATTGTCAGGTGCATAATTTAAAGGGTTAATAATGGTATCCAAAGGATCACGTCTACCTAATTCTATAACCTGAACATTTGAAATTGGCTTTTTATTTACACAAATAAATAAATTAAAAAAAAACTTTTTTAAAAACATGCTTTTCTAAAAAAAAAATAGTAAAAAGTAAAAAATAATTGTATTACAAGAACAATTTACCAATCAATTGTTGCATATTTTATTTTAAACGTCAATTACTTTGAAAACAACCGAAAATTAACTAATATTTTAAATAATTTTAAATATCTTTAATTTTTGACTAAAAAGAAAAGCGTGGGCCCTATTCAACAAAGTCTAAATTCATTGAGTTAAGTATTATGAAATGTATGTGTCACACACAAATATTTAATTAAATTTAAATTACAAAAGAACTTACAATATAAAACAATATCTGATAAATTTATTAGGGACTTTGTTGAATAGGGTTTTATTTTTAGTCAAAAATTAAAGATATAATTATTTAAAATTTTAGTTAATTTTCGGTTGTTTTCAAAGTAAATGACATTTTAAATAAAATATGCTACAATTGATTGGTAAATTGTTCTTGTAATACAATTATTTTTTACTTTTTACTATTTTTTTTTTTAGAAAAGCATTTTTTTAAAAAAGTTTTTTTTCAATTTATTTATTTTATTTTTTTACTTTTTAGTCCTATTAAAGGTATTTAATAATTGCTGTATAGATTACTAAATTAATTTTGGAAGATTTGAAAAAAACATGAAATTATAGTGAATTGACCCCCACATTTGACCCTGTGTAGGGCGACCTGGATGTCCGAGTCCCAATATGATTACAGGATATTGTATTATCATCTAAGACGAGTGTCTGTGCCAAGTTTCAGCCCTATACGACATCGGGAAGTGGGTTAAATTAATTTTGCAAGATTTGAAAAATACCCGTACAAACGTACGTACGTACGTGTTAGCGAGCTAAAGAAAAGCCTGTAATAAATATAGTATACTTAATACTATAATACATATTAAAACGAGGATTATAAGTATAAAAAAAATAGTCGCAAAAGAAAAATCTAAGGCATTATTAATTAAATATTTATAAAAGATCCCAAATTCATATTGGATTGTATAAAAGTAAAAAATTGAAGTAACACATAATTATAAAAATAAGAAACAACATGTTCATTTTGTAGCCTTCTACTTAGTAGGTTATGTATTATACTTTTTTTAGTTTTTTATAGGTACAATATTACATTTTATGTTATAATTACTAATAAAATAAATATTTCATAACTATATATTTAATACTTATTATCATTTAATTTTAATTCAATTATTATTATATGTTTCTATGTTTGAGTATTTATAACTATACAACTCAACATGAGTTGACGTTTTACATTACTAACAGCTTCCCATATACCCGGCTTCACCCGGAGAAATACATACAATTGCCACAAAGTACTCACAAATTATGTTTAAACTATCCTCGTGAAACACTCTTTTTATCAGTGAAAACTAGAATAAAATTCGTTCAGTATTTACTGAGAAAATCGTGCATAGACTCGGTAAACGAATTTGTTTATCGAATAAGATAATAATTAAGTTATTTTTGAAACTGGTCGACGCGTATTCGCATATAATAGGTAATAACTAATAAGCAAGTACGAGGTATCAATACGTTTATTCTAATTTCTAAGAAAGTTAGTTAAGAAAGTTATTCATAGGTCATATTGTCATAACAACAAAAGTAATAAAGCTATCAAAGTTATTCAAATTATGATGGCTATTGTATTTTCTATTCTGTTCAATGTTACATACATTTTAATGAACAGTATTTAAAATAATACTCTAGTTTGTAACAAGCGGGCGAGCGCAATAGCGAGTGTTATATTATAGTGCCGCACCAATGTCCAACGTGATAGAGCATACGTTGCGCGCGCATAATATTAGTTTTTACTAGAACCGCTGTCCGTAAAAGAATGATGTGCTACTCCGCACTGGCTGCAACGCGCAGCGTCGCAGCACTCGTATGGGCGTGGCTATATGCCGCCGCCGCCGCGCCGATATGGAAAATAACGCCATCTCTTGAGCGTTGGTTTCGTTTCACTTTTGCTTTGACGCCCTCTTAAGAACGTACTGGTCGAAGTAAAACCATGATTTTATGTACATAAATAGAGCCTGTATGTGTATAAGTTAAGGGAATTCGATACCGGCCGTCTTTTTCAGTATAAACACATCATTTTTCTTCCATCGCACAGGCCGAACCGGTTATCCGATAAATAATTTGAAAACAGATTTGAATTCGTCATGAAGTGTACTTGGGATCCTACGAGGCACTTTTTTAATTTTTAATTTTAACCCTTTCCAAATTTGATTTAAATATTTGAAATTTTATAAAATGTTCAATGGTTTCTCATTCATAGTTAGAAAAATATATCAAAAAAGTACCTCGTAGAATCCCAAGTTTACTTCAAATCTGTTTTTAGATTACTACTAAGATCACTGGTTCGGCCTGTGCGATAGAAGAATAAAATGTATATTATACTAACTAAAATGGCTTTTACTCATAGACAAAATGATTTAAATTAAAAATATTACCACGAAGCTTATACAAATTAACCGGTAAATTAATTGACACGGTCGAAATTCATTAAAACCACTTTTTTCTTAAATATTATCTATACAAAACAAATGGTCGGTATCGAATCCCCTTAAAAAAGATAAATATTAAAATTTATCCAGCCTTCCTGTGTAAGAATTATACATGTTGACAAATTTTAGTTAACCATCAAGTTTTAGTGAAAAATTGCCTATACAATGAGCTTTAATAAATGCTATAGTATGTAGATGTCCCTTAAAATGTCATGTTTCACGGTTGCAAAAACAGGGGTTAGCAAATGGCAAAATCACTTTCAAATAAAATCTTTGATGGGTTTGGTCCACAGGAATAAAAATTATCGTTGCTTCAGACACAAAAAAACAACACATATCAAAAAATGTCTTCCAGCTATCGCATCAAAGGTAAAATGATGTTGACATTAATAAAATAATCCAAGACTTATTCAATGCCGTTTTGAGGACTTTTTTTAGTTTCAAAACTATTTTAGGCTGTACACTAAGTTTATAAAATGAAAACGTCCTAATTATTAAAATTCTTGAAGAAAGCTCATCGACAAAATCTAGTTCAAGTTCACAATATATTTTTCAAGTAGTTAAAAAAAATTCTTTGTATTGAGAGGTTCTTATTTTGAGAATTGAATATTTGTAATGGAGCCATATAGTACCTACGTTTATATGATAGCGTTAAAACGGCTTGAATTTAAATAGTTTTTAAATTTCTTAAAACGATTTAGTTTAATACCTATTATCCGTTTACATATAAATGTATAATTAATCGATTTAGTGAACATTTTTAATGAAAACTGATAACTAGTATGATATTGATAATAAAAATGCAGAATGAAAAAGCCACGGTCATATGTCAAATTTATAAACCGTTTTACACGTTTAAAACTGTTATAATTTCTTAAACTCCATAGCGCAAGCGTTTTAATTTTGAATATGGTTTGAAGTTTTTAAACCGTTTTAAAGTGTTTACATGACATGAACGCATTTTAATTTCAAACCGATTTTCCTCGCCATCATATAAATGTACTAATAGAGGTTTTAATATTCTAATAAAAAATTTAAGTGAAGAATCCTTATAACTGTTACTATACTAAATTATACACATCATTTTATGATAAATTTTTTTTTTATATAAATTGTTGATTTGCAGCACCTTAAAAAGTAGTTAATAGGCAGATTACACAGGTATGTAGATAGTCCACAGGCAATTGTTTTGTAAACGACTGCACTCAACAAATAAATGGTTATACTATAAAGTTTACGTCCAAAATAAGGTTGTCTGTACCCCACCAACGTATGACTTTTAAATAAATATTTACTATGATATTTATTACATTAATTTTATAAATAGCCATTAGTATTGGAATGTAGTTCCGGACCCAGTGATGTCTAATATACTCTGTATTTATTTTTAATCGCTTTTGAATTTATTTTTAAGTAATGGGACGTATTGTTCTAATGGTGTTAGCATGTTGCTGTTTAGTGATTTCAATACTACCTACATAAATTATGTAAAAGTATAAAAATCAGACATTACATTAACATTTAACATTGTTGCTATTCACTTACAATTTTTTTGGACAATTGTTTAATTATAGTGAATTTTCCAAAACGGTATTTTATGGACAAACAATAATATTTTGTAAAGGACATTTCTTTGATGACCTCAAAACCTAAAAGAAGATGTCTTGAATAGTACAAAAAAATAGAAAATAGTTATAATAATATGAGAAACTTTATGAGTCTTTTAACAAATTTCATAACATCTATTCTGAAAAACGAGTTTTTTACAATAAATGTAAAATTTAAACTTAACAAAACACATTTAAAGTGAACAAAATGAGTTAAATATGGAAAGCCCAAAGAATGATATAATAATCAGTATTTTAGCATTTATGGGCATTAGTAAACAACGCATGAAAGCAGAAATAAAAGTAAAAAATAGTTCAATTTATTTTAAATATTTGGTGCAGTATACAATTACCTTAATATTAAATTAAGAATTTTCGAGAAAGTTCCAAAAAATTAAGCCCCGGGTACCGGCGTCGTAAAAATTATAGGCACAGCCGTTGCAGCACCGTCCCCTCTCTTCTATCCTCGTGTCAAAGGGTCCGTCGCCGTTAAGTCGCAAAACGGAAAAACGACCACAGTAATCAAAATAGTTGAAATAATTATATCTGTTAGTCGAAAAAAATCTATATTTTTTTGGAGGGGGCTAAAAATATTTGTACCGTAGCCCGTGTTCTCAAATTACGTCACTGATAAGTCCCTCACGACTTATGTAGCCCTCTCCAACATTTTCACACTGTGCAGTTTTTTAGGCCATACATTAATGGGTAATAACCCATTAATAATATATTAATCATAAACATAATGTATATCGACTGTGATTAATCAAAACTTGATAAAACGAAATTTTTTTTTTCTGTGATAATAATTTCTAAAATTTACACTATGTAATTCTACGCTCCATACTTTTAGTTTCTCTAATCGAACTTTATTGTATTCTACCTTCCACAATAAGTATTTTCGGTGTAAAAAAAATTATGGAATTTTAATTTCTTGTTTTATATTATCATATAATTTATATTTTCTGTAATAGTATTTCTATAACTTTATATTCTGCAATTTTTAAATTCAGTCAATAATACTTTCTGGATTTCTATCGTTCCGGCCGATTTTATTCTGGTGATTTGTGGGTTCCCGTATCGGTGACGACAACGGTAACGCCGCGTGAATTGTGATAAGAGTTATCAATAAACAATAATTATAAAAACAGAGTCGACTGCAATAGTGAATTCTTCCAACGTTTTCCTTTTTATTTTATTTTATAAAATAGGTATTGACCGGGTAAACTTGTAAAGTGTGTGTATTAAACATGTCGGTAAACGCGTCCAAAGTACCGGAAGACGATAACTTCCTGACTAAAGAACTGTTCGTTTCTTTGGCAGTTCTATTTGTCACTCTGGGTAAGTCGTTCTGCTGTTGTACTAAATCAATCAATCAATCGATCAATGTTGTTGTGGCCACGATTATTTTGTGGATATATTTTTTGATTTAATCACATTTCAGTGTTGTTGTATTTGTGGAAAAAGAGTAACAAGACTTACCGCGACGTTTTGCTCGTCGGCTTGTGCGATTCGGGCAAGACCGCTCTCTATTCGCACTTGCTGTTCAACAAGGCCGTCCAGACCTTCACGTCGCAGGTGGAAAACATTGGCGAATTCAAAAACAGCAAGGTACACTAACAATTGAACGTAAACGGACTTATGAGAACGTGATTTAATTGTGACAATTATAATTTTTGTTTTTAGAAATCTTTGCGTGTTGTCGATATTCCTGGACACGAGCGAGCGTTTGGTAAATTTTGGGATGTTTACAAGACGAGTTGTAAAGGGATAATTTTCGTCGTCGATTCGGAAAACGTGCAGACGTCGGTATGCGATGTAGCAGAGTAAGTGTAATAAAATTTTTGAGATTTAAATTTCAACTAATCTGTCTTTTGCGTTGCTAGCCTGTTGTACAGAGTGATCACCGACGACACGATTGTTTCGAACAAAAGCAAAATATTAGTCGTTTGTAATAAACAAGACAAACTCATGGCTAAAGGTTCGGAAGTCATCAAGACGTTACTCGAAAAAGAATTGTATGGGCTCTCTATGAAGGGCCAACGCCTTGTGAGATCCCGTGATCAGTATCATCACCTGGAACCGGATGATTCAAGAAACCATTATGTCTTTATTATAACTATAGTTTATAAATGCTATTTATTGAGCTAAAAAGTTCACCATTTTCTTGATTCAAATGGAGAAAAACTGTGTCTTTAGACACAAGCAGTGCCAAACAAATATCTTAAATCCTTTCCCCTAAACTGGGTGGAAGTTTTTTTTCAGTAAAGTTTTACGGCTTAAGGTCTGAAAATCAGACCAAAAGTACATCTAGAGGTTGCAACATTTACAAATTAAATCTGCTGTCAAACTTTTTATTGTGTGTGTACTTACCACCGACGAACAAGTGTACGCCTCCGGCCTCCTCGATGAGCCGTTCGTAGTTCTGGCACTCGGCTTGTAAGTCGGCGGCATTGCCGTTAAGTATGTGTGCGTTTTTCGGGTCTATGTCTACTTGAGTGAAGAAGTTTGTCATCATGTAACAGTGGTAGCTCTCCGGGTGATTTCTGGGCAAGCCTTTCGCGGACGACACGGTCCAAAAAATTAATAACATTACAATATTCGTATTGTTTTATTACATGTAGGAGATTGCAGAATAAAAATTATCCCTCCAAAAAAATGGAATATTATTTGTTAGGGCTGGTAACACTGGTCCAGCGGTGTACAACATTATTTATAAGAAGAGTCGTTTTTTGAACTGCCGTTGATTGTTGTTGAGTGTCGTTTTTTTTTTTTTTTGTTAATAATGTATTATATTAACTTAATAATTAATTCACGAAATTGGATTGGTCTTTTAAAACAAGTTTATTTTATTGTAATATATTATTTATACAATTGTCAATTCATGCGGTTAAGCAGATAGTGGACATGTGTGAGATTATCAATAAAATATATTATATTATAATGCAATAATGTATCATTTATTTTTCAAGTGATATTTTTGGATTATTCATTATAATTTCCATAAGAAACATTTGCAGGATCAATAAAATATCAACACAACGACGAATTGAGCAGAAAACGTGTAAAATGTATTTCACCGAAAACGAAACTGTTTTTGGTGTCAATTGATAATATTGTCTTAGTTGAGTTTAGAATGCGGAAGAATGGAAATGGCCATTATTATAACAGCTGGAATAAACATAAACGGTCAGAATGTAATTTCTCTCCTTTTTGAGGGCTTCCATAGTAAACAAAAAAAAAAATAGTCTTGACACAGTAACATAAGACAGTAGTTATATAATATTAAAAAAAAAATCAAATGGCCATATTTTTAAGATGTGTATTATGTTATTGTAATGTTTGAAGTAGTAAAAACCATAAAAACGAGAAAACTTCAATACCACCGATATGTATTACAATAAATAATCCAGGGTAAAATAGTTGAGGGAAGGAGCTGTGGAAGACCTCAAATGTCTTGGACGGACAACCTCAGAAGATGGTCCAACACATCTACGAATTCACTATTCAGTGCAGCCATCAATAAACTTAAGCTCACAGTAGAAAGTATTGTAAGTATTGTATAAATAATACCAATATAAATAACCTAATGCATATATTATGCACTTACATGCAGTGAAGGGTTAATATCAATATACTGAACGATATTTTATGGGGAATGAAGAGACTCTGAAAGACTACTTAAGAAATACTGGGACTTAAACTCACCAACGTACTCGTCCATGTTGAAAGTCTTGACGTACTTGAAAGAAACTTCACCGGCCCTGTAGTACTTGATCAGGTACTTGTACATCCCTAGCGGAGTTCCACCTGAAGTCGGTCTGAAGTTAATTGGTTTGCTTGTAAATAAGAAAGTGCGTTATTATATACTTACCCGTAGGAAGACCCAAGACAAAGTATCGGTCGGGCCCCGGGTTGAAGTCGTTGATTCTCTTGGTCACATACTTGGCCGCCCAAGTATGCATTAAAAAAATATAATAGCATTCATTCAAGTGTTCTTACCGATTTGATTTCTTATATCAATTCAATACGACGTGCAGCATTCAAGGCGGGCGTGTCACTGCTTGTGTTATTTAAATGGCAACTATTTAGCTTCTACACTCAGCTCGGCTTTGTCTGTAGACATGGAACACATGTAATATTCTATATACGTATATGTAATACAATGTATATTATTATGACCGATAAGGTTGTTGATGTTTATTTTCTCTGTCATTATCTTTTTAGTTTGTGTACTATGCGCCCATATAGTAGTAGTTACTAATTATTTTGTATCCGGTGCAGCAACACGTTTATGTGAACAAAAGTTATTTTTCTTTATCGCCCGCTAAAGAAAACTACTTAATTATCTGATTTATTTTACTGTATCTTAAAAAACGTATCAAACATCCGTACACTTTTTTTTATTGTATTTTTCAACGATAAAGAAATGGAACATATTTCATTATATCATGAAAAATGATTTGTTTATTTACACACAACAACATAACATGGTAACGATTTGAAAACAATATAAACAAAATATAGGAAACACAATAATTTTACAAAACAATTATTAAAAAAATAAATTATTACAATAACATTAACGATCAAAAGTATTTACAGTAAATTAAACGGATAGGTTGAAAATGCAAGAAAAGGCAACAATATTTGGTAGAATCAAATAAATATTTACAGTAAAAATAACAAATATGGGGGAAGGGGGGGGGGTAGAAGGTGCAAGCCACAAGGGTACGTTAGAAACCGGCATAATAAAATCCTCTGTCGACGGGCTTGTCCGGGTACGGTTGCTTGCTTCAAAGGCTCTTGGCCTCAGGGTCTTTACCCTCGCGACCCTGGCTCTGTATTCGGCGTTCCCCGTGGCGGTGCTTTGGCCGAAGCGGGCCGCCACGATCGGTGTCCTACGTACGGGTTCTTGGGCCGGTCGCGTTTCGGCGGGTTCCTGGGACGGGCCGCTGGCAACGTCGTCGCCGCCGCTATGGGCTTCGATGGTCGGTGGCTTGACCTAGGTGGCTTCGTACAGAAGTGCGTCAATAATGGCTTTGTACGCACCGGCAACAGTTGACCGTGCCCAGCGGTTCAGACTGGTGGCCAGACAGCCTGACTTCTGGCGGCCGACGTCGTTGGCGTTTACGGGAAACAATTTTTTACAATGTGAGAACAGCTTGTAACAATGATAACAGACCAATGCGGTGGAAAAAATAACGTAACTAATAAGAGCAATTAAATATATGAGAATATAAAAATACATTACATAAAAGAAAAACATTAAAAAACATATAGTATAAAAAATGATTGACTTTGGAATAAATTTACAAGAAAGACATAGGATTATTAGGAAATATAAAAAAGTTACCAAAATGGAGGAATATAAAAAATAACGGACACAGTCAACGTGGGCGGAATACCAAGAAAAAATAATAAATAATAAATTGCGAAGTGCACTTATACTAGAAATAAAACGATATAAATGAACAAAGACCATAATTAATTGGCATGCAAAATTTAACCCATCCAGAGCCTGTCGCACGTCCGCGGCATCTTCGCCGGCTTGGTCGGCTTTGGACTTGGTGGGTGCCATACGATCTAACACTTTCATAATGCCAATTGACAGCCCGTTCTTCAAAATATTGCACAAAAAAGACATTGCTTTAGGAGAAAAGGTTATTTTTGATAAAGAGAACAAGAGAAATATAAAACATGAAAACGATACACAGTACAATTTTAGACAAGTCAATAGTTACAAAAAAACAACGGCCGTCGTGACGACCGTTGGTTTATTTGCAACATTCGACTGTATAATATAGTAGCCAGACATATTATTATTATATTTGTTTGTTTATCTAAAGTCTTAACACCCCAAATGGCTAACGAGTACAGTTATTAAAAGTTTCACAAAAGAATATACAGCAACAACTTGGGTATTAGATATACAAATAGAAATAATAACAAATAAATATATACACAATAAACACATGTAAGCTTAATTACTATTCAATATATAATATTTTTTAATTTAATTTGGGAATCAAAAGAAAAATCAAAATTAAGTACATTGTCACATGCATCTAAAATGCGATACTCTGGACTATATTTAATTAAGTTTGTGTAGCATTGTGGTATTAAGAACGGGCGATTATTTCTTAAATTAAAGGTTGGAATTTTAAAGTTTATTTTGCTTAGGAATTCTGGACAGGATAATTTACCATTTATTAATTTATGAATAAAACCTAAGTCGTTATATAACCTTTTAGAAGCCAATGACTCTGAATCCAATTCTACAGCTAAAATATTAGACATAATATACGTTGTACCCATAAATGCCCGATTGATGTGTGTATGGATTAAATAAAGACAAATAATAAAGGTTAGGCTTAGGTATACTCAAAAACGGAATTCCTTCTTCGGATTTGATTTAATAATATATGTTTTGTGTTTGTGAAAGCGCTTGCTGTATAATAGCATAGACAATCTAAGGTTATACTGGGATTAGGTTTATCACAAGTTGACAGTATTGTCGAATCAGATATACACTTTTTTAGGATTTGTCAACACATCCGTGTTAAAATAGGCAAGTATTACTACTGCGTTGTATCTCATTAGATTATTTACAAAAAACAAAATGTATTAAACTTTCATGGATCCAGTGAAAAATTTCCAGAAAACTACTAGGTATGTATACATTTTTGTACACATGGTCTTTTTTTTTTTTAATATCCTGTTTTATACTAAAGAAATAAATCATATCATAAAGAAATGGAAAATATTTTATTTAACAAATTTTTTTTTTTTATTTACACAGAATAACATGGTAACAAACGATTTAAAAACAATTAACAAATAGGAAAAATGCCAAGTACAATAATTATACAAAATAATCAACAAGAACAACAAGCCACAAGGGTATGTAAAAACCCCGAATAGTGAAATCCTTTATCGTTGGACGTGTCCGGGCCATCTCCTCTAGCTCATAGCGATAGCCGTTAACCTGGCTTTATACTCGGCGTCCACGATGGTGGTGGTTTGGCCAAAGCGGGCCACTGCTCGGCCGGTCGCATTGACGTCTGTGGCTTCGAATGGGACCGTACAGCCTAGGCCTTCATGCATTCCGGACAGCAGTTTGTCTTTGAGGGCCTTGCACGCACTTGAAACCGTTGAGCCATTGCTTTTGGAGACAAAGTTGATTTTTAATTAGATAAAGATTTATAAAACAAAACAAGTCACAGTGAAATTTTAGAATATTGTACACAAAAGCCATTGCAAAGTTGATTTTTGATTAAAGATTCACAAAGATTTATAAAGATTTATAAGACAAGAAAACATGAAAACAATACAAAACAAGTCGATAGTTACGATAAAACAATTTGCAACATTTGAATGTATAATATAGTAAATTAATTAACAAATAGTAAAAATGCCAAGTACAATAATTATACAAAATAATCAACAAGAAACAAATGACAATAATAATAATATGAATCAAAATAGGTCTGGAGGTACAAGCCGGATATGTCCGTGCCTTCTTCTCAAGCTCATAGCGATGGCCGTTAACCTGGCTTCATACTCGGCGTTCACGATGGCGGTGGTGGTTTGGCGGAAGCGGGCCACCGCGTTCCTGTTGCTCGGCCGGCCGCATTGACGTCTGTGGCTTCGAATGGGACCGTACTGCCTAGGCCTTCATGCATTCCGGACAGCAGATTGTCTTTGAGGGCCTTGCACGCATTCGAAACCGTTGATCGTACCCGACGGTTGAGACTGGCCAGAGGGCCTAGTGTTTGGCGGCCGACGTTGTTGGTGATTGAAATAACAAAATACATTACATAATAGATAAACATAAAAAAACATACAGTATTAAAAATGATTGGCTTTGGAAAGTGCCGAGAAATAAATTGACAAGAAAGAGTAAGGATTAACAGGAAGTATATATAAAAAAGTAACTACAATAGATGAATATAAAAGCTAATGGACACAGTCAACAAATTGAAGAAATCAAACGTCACGACTGAATAATGTGCAAAAATAACCAATTTAAAGCCACTGTTCGTGCGTCCATGGGTTTGGCGGCATCTCTGTTGGCTTGGTCGGTAGGTTGGACGTCGGCATTGACTGTTTGCGTATTGGCTTCGGGCTTGGTTTGCGCGATACAGTCCAAGACTTTGACAATTTCAATTGACAGTCCATATCTTTAGTTTATTACCAAGGAAAGATATAGAAAACACGGTGTTGCAAACACCAATGGAAATTGTGGTATCTATAGAAAAAAAAAAAAAAATATTAGTAATAATTATTAACTAATTAACATGTTGAAGACGAAAAACTAGTCGATATAAATGTTGTAAAGATTTTAATTTTTCTGCCAAACTGTTGTCGTTATTCTTTTGATATATTTTAAGACATTATTTATTCGTTTAATTTAATATACATCGTTTAATAGGAAATCTCTGCGCTTCTTGTCTTTAAAAACCAAACGACTATTGACTTTGAATTTAATTATTTACATTGTTACAAGTAAAAAATCGATTATTATTGAAAGTTTCTGAGATTCAAACGACAATTTTAAAATGTAATTTTTACTACCAAGATTTTTCCATGTTTGAATTTTCGACAGCAGCTGTACATCATAAACTTCATCGCCATAATTAGGTTTGGCCACAAGACGGTAAATAGTCGGTATAGCAAGGCAATGGTATAATTGTTTTAAATTTAATTATAACATTTTACCAGTTGTTAAAATCAACTGCCATTTTAAAATTCTTGTAGTATTCGTATTACAAGCAATTTAGTATTTTTTATCAGCAAGATTGTTATTTAGTGATAACAAAAAGTGATAACGTTGGCGCACGTATCGGTGACGACAACGGTAACGCCGCGTGAATTGTGATAAGAGTTATCAATAAACAATAATTATTAAAACAGAGTCGACTGCAATTGTGAAATCTTCCAACGTTTTCCTTTTTATTTTATTTTATAAAATAGGTATTGACCGGGTAAACTTGTAAAGTGTGTGTATTCAACATGTCGGTAAACGCGTCCAAAGTATCGGAAGATGATAACTTCCTGACTAAAGAACTGTTCGTTTCTTTGGCAGTTCTATTTGTCACTCTGGGTAAGTCGTTCTGCTGTTGTACTAAATCAATCAATCAATCGATCAATGTTGTTGCAGCCACGATTATTTTGTGGATATATTTTTTGATTTAATCACATTTCAGTGTTGTTGTATTTGTGGAAAAAGAGTAACAAGACTTACCGCGACGTTTTGCTCGTTGGCTTGTGCGATTCGGGCAAGACCGCTCTCTATTCGCACTTGCTGTTCAACAAGGCCGTCCAGACCTTCACGTCGCAGGTGGAAAACATTGGCGAATTCAAAAACAGCAAGGTACACTAACAATTGAACGTAAAACGGACTTATGAGAACGTGATTTAATTGTGACAATTATAATTTTTGTTTTTAGAAATCTTTGCGTGTCGTCGATATTCCCGGACACGAGCGAGCGTTTGGTAAATTTTGGGATGTTTACAAGACGAGTTGTAAAGGGATAATTTTCGTCGTCGATTCGGAAAACGTGCAGACGTCGGTATGCGATGTAGCAGAGTAAGTGTAATAAAATTTTTGAGATTTAAATTTCAACTAATCTGTCTTTTGCGTTGCTAGCCTGTTGTACAGAGTGATCACCGACGACACGATTGTTTCGAACAAAAGCAAAATATTAGTCGTTTGTAATAAACAAGACAAACTCATGGCCAAAGGTTCGGAAGTCATCAAGACGTTACTCGAAAAAGAATTGTATGGGCTCTCTTGTAATTGTTTTCTAAAGAAATGAATATAACGATTTTAAGTGTGTTGTCGTCGTGGTTCGTTTCAGAGATACGCTGAGGATCACCAAAGCCAATCAGTTGGAGAGCATCGACGGTAAAAAGAACAACAAGACTTCACTGGGCAAAAAGAAGAAGAGTTTTGAGTTTTCGCATTGTCAAATTCCCGTTGAATTCGCCGAATCTTCGCTGTCGGCTTCTCAAGACGTCGTTTTAGAACCGGTCAAGAATTGGCTCGACAAAATTCAGTAGTACCGTTTCTTTGCGTTTAGGTGGTGCATTACTCAAACTTGTACATTTATATATTTTACGTGTTAAGCCCATATGATGCATTTATATGATCTGCATTTTGTTGGCTAAAATGTATTTATGGGTTTTTTTTTTTTTTGTTTGTTTAAATAAACTTATGTTTTCTTATTGCTGTTTCGTTGTATGTAAATAATCTTTTTGTTCGCTGTATTAATATTATTACGACGACTTATTAATTAAGATTCTCCGCGTAAGTCATCATGGACGCCGAGACGAAGATTTCGCCCGAAGTGAATCGAAAAATTCTCGAGTCCAGATATAGATTTTTCACGCTAATAGAAGAAATCAAGTTTAACGTCTTGTTGTCCGTAAGCGTAGAACTTAAAGCGTATTGTTATTATTTTTTTTTTTTTACGATTAAGGGGTTGCGTGTATCGGTTATTATTTTTTTTCTTGTAATATTTGAAATTAAGAAGGTTTATAAGGTGATATCTTGGGCTTATCTTGTAAATAAAAAATTGCCATAATATTTCCATACATAGTTACCGCCATTATTTCTGTTTAAGTAAACAATTCATTTTACTTCGGTAGGATACGACTATAACATATTTTGTTCCATCCTTTTATCTAATATAAGTGTATTACAATTGGTCTTGCTAAGATAATAAACAGAAGTATAATTATCATATACTAGATATTTTATATATTAGATTTTAAAGAACAAAAAACAAACTAATTTATGTGTTGTAATATTAGTGTAGGTTGATAGGTAATGAGTAAATTTTGCCTATTGAATTTTACAGTGTTGTTGAACCGATTTTTAAAAAGTATTCAAGTACTACTACTTTACATAATATTGTTTAAAATACTTTTAAACACCAACCAAAAATTCAAAATTTAATGAATACAAATTTACTTTGTACAGACACCTGATTTATGATACCTACATGCATATATGAATAAGAATATTATTTTGTACTACTTGTCTTGAAAATACTCTATTAAATAGGTACTTTAAAATAAAAGCTGTTCAAAACCAGTAGGTACAAAAATACTTGACATAACATATTTTCAATGTAGTACAAGAGAACATGATGGTGGTGTATAACATACACTACAAAATTGATAAAAATTAATATTTTTTTTTGAAAATGTATTTTTACAACATGCCAATTATTATGTTAATACAACAAATTTTCCATTATTAACGAAGAATGTACTGTCAAAGAATTGTTGCATAAAATAATTAACAAACATCTTAAAATTAAATTAAAATTTACAATAAAAATAATTAAAAAATGTTTAGCTATTTATGTGGATGTTCTAAACTACTTAGAGTTAGTACAATAATTGTAATATTAAAAGTCCATTTTTATGTTTTATATCATAATGCAACTGTTGACTAAGAAGTTGGACGGCTAAATTTTGGAAAAATATTTGTTTTCTTCATTAGTTATGTTTGCCAACATGTCTGCAAGAATTTCCGTCACTTTGGGATGCGGTTGATGATCCTGCGGCCTTGGGCGTTTACAATTTACAATCGTTTGCCGAAGACGACAGCACTAACGTGGAGGCTGAAGAACAAGAACAGACACAATGTCTTATGGACGATGCTTCTTTGGATGCTGCAGCCATAGCCAATGCCGGTCAAACGCCCAATGAGCTTTATGCTGGCTTGTGTCAAGCGTTTAAGGTCGCAGTCCAAAACGAAAAACTGATAAAATCGTGCAAAGAGCACTCTGGTGGTCATCAGGTATAGCCAAGACCTAATGTGTTTGAAAGCTTCAAGAGGGGTACAAAATTCAGTTGTACTATATGCAGACAGTATCTTCCCATTACCTAGGGTTAAAATTAGGGATTAGAGCTGTAGGTACCTAGAACTTGCTTTTTGGAGTGTGTTTCAGTTATTTTTTTTTTAAGGAGCCTAGGCTCTCTTCTGTGATTCTTCTCGAAACCTAAGTACAGGGTGTCTCAAAATGAACGGTGGGGTTTCAAACGGCTGTAGGTTGTGGACCTTTTGAAACCTGTTGACTGTGAAACATTTAATGACAGTCATTCGAAACTTGACAACTCCCTCTTTCATTCAAGCTCTACCAGAGCGCTGTAGGTCCAATACCTCACACCCAACCTAACCTAACCAAACCTAACCTAACCTAACCAAACCTAACCTTTTTTTTTTTTTTGTGTGTTATAATCGTGGCGCTGTAGAGGGGAACTTTACCTTATAGGTCATCCTTCCCTCTACATCCACATCATTTATTAATAAATGTAATACTGTTACAACTTAGCAATATTTTTACAAAATAGTTGGAGGGCTCTATCCCTCCTGCTGTGGCCTTCGGCCTATAATAGATTATTAACTAAAGTAATATGTATCTTTCTTCTTTCTGGCGTGCTCTTTCCTCTTCTTCCCTCTTTGTAAGTATGCCACTGACAAACTGTCCGACTGCGTTCCAGTTGCCTCGGTTCTTCAACATCAGGTCCACCATTACTTCTGGCTCCAGTGTCTTTTCCATCTTGGCCTCTAGGTCCCGTCTCTGTCTCCACCATCGATCGCAATGGAAGATTGCATGATCAGCATTGTCTCTCGGAGCAGAGCAGTCCAAGGCACCTGGGGTCCGTCGTTCTCTTAAATCTGTGTAGATAATCCCGGAAGCAACCATGCCCGGTGAGCATTTGTGTAAGGTGAAAATTGATCTCTCCATGTTTCCTCGTTGCCCATTTTTTCACGTCTGGAATCATCCTCCTGGTCCATCTGCCCGTCTCCGCATCATTCCATTCTTCCTGCCACTTTGTGAACGATTCTTCTCTTGGTGTATCTTTTTTAGTCCTATCCTTGTGTAATTTAAGTCTTTCCAGTGCCATCAAATGTGCAGGAATGATACCGGCGACCACTAATATGGCTTGTGTGGAAACCGTTCTATACCCCATAGCAATTCTAAGAGCTATTGTGGTTTTAGAAGTGTCGATTTGTTTATGTTAGATTCAACTGCATGGGCCCATATAGGGGCGGCATACAGTGTTTGGCTGTACACTATAGCTCCAAATATCTTCCGTTTCTTGTGAGAAGCACCTCCTACGTTAGGCATAATCCGAGCAAAGTTGGATGCAGTTCTACTAGCCTTAGCTGCCGCCTTTTCTATGTGTTTCCTAAAACCAAACCTAACCTAACCAATCCGTTTGAAACCCCGCCATTTTTTTTTTGAGACACCCTTTAATAAACTGCTTTGGCCGTGACAGCTTTGATCATCAGACAATAGGCTTTAGTGTGGCGACCGAACGAGTAGCTAACTCGAGTGGGGTGTCTCGTTTATTGGCAGATGCGACAGGAAGGCCGGGAATTGATCGAAGCGATCGAGACGTTTTTCCGATTGATCAGCGACCGGATGAAAGTGGACGCGGACGATCAACGGAAGCGCGAAGACGATCTGATCGTCAAGTACAGGAAGAACGAGAAGTACAAACAGCGTGTAATAGCTGTGCTCAGACAGATGGAACAAGCCGCAGAGAAGCACGTCAGGAACCGCATAGCAAAAATTGACAAGATCAAATACTATAGATCTCAAATAGAAAATGCCATCAAGACGGCCGAGACCAGACGTGTGAGATTCGAGTAAGTCACACGACGGTTGATCATTCATACATGATCTAGTTTTTTGTTTGATGACTTTAACATTACATAGTATCGTGTTCATTTGAGAAGTCCTTTAGGTCAGGTTAGGTTAGGTATGACACGTTTTACACCTTGAAAAAAATACTTGGTATAATATAATACTTATTGTTTTACGATTATAACAAAAAGGAATGACAATCAAAACGAGCTGACACTTTATTTGAAGTATTTCGAAAACGATCTGAGTTCATTGGAAAATAACATTGAAATAACTCAAGCGGAATTAAATCTAATGAGAATGAAAAACGACGTTGAAATCGAGAACATCAAGAAAGACGTGTGAGTTGTTTCCTAACTACTCGAACAATTGACAATTTTGTTTTGATTTTATTTAAAAAAAAATTGAAAACATTCAATTAAATGGGACTTGCATTTAAACAGGCGGTTACCTAGACTAGGTTAGGGAGTTGAGAAGATACCTTTTAAGTGATATTTGTATTTTACATAATATGTACAAACTATAATAATATATACTTATAATTTGTAAAAGTCATGTGTATATGCATACAGAACCGACGAGAACAAATTCTCAAGCACTTTCCCGGTAAATTTTAAGGGATCAGGCATTTCTTTACCGTAGTTGGAAAAATTACAAATTTTACTAGGGTTTGACTTTGAAAATGTACAACCTTGTATTGTGTTTTACTATAATATATTGATTAGCGAGAAAAAAGAAATGGCGTTGCTGACACAAAATCGTCGATACGGCCATGACATGTTGAAGAGATATAACGAAAAAAAGGGTCTTCTGCAAAATATCGAACACAAGAAAACGGCCTACGAGAAACTAAAGGTACACCTCATCTAACCTAAACCTGACCCTAATTCTACTCCCAAACCTAACCTAACCTAACCTAATTTAACCTAACCAAACCTAACCAAACCTAACCTAACCAAACCTAACCTAAACCTAAACCTAACCTAACCTAACTTAATCCAACGGTCTTTGCGCTTTGTAAACGTTCAATTTAAGGCCATTTTTACACTATAACGTCCAATTTACATGTACAGGAAAATGTTGCCTGGAGCGAACAGTACTTGGAACAGTTGGATTTGGAAGAGAAGGGCTACCTCAAGCGAGAGTTTTATGACAAATTGGACGCACTCAAAGAGAAAATGGCATTGCGAGCAATTACCAACTTCTTGAGACCTTACATTATCGCCAGGTTCGGCGTCCGGAAGACACCCAGGTCTCCCAAAGCCAAAAAGACTAAACAAAAGTCAAAAAAATAAAACCACATCTACTGATTTCTATTTCCATAATATATCAATAAAAAAAAAGTCATGTAACCATTTAGTGATTTTTTTTACTAATGATATCAACTTAGGGCGAGGGATGTGAAAGTATGATGTTGACTATATTGTAGAGTATGTGTAGAAAAATAGATATGGTATAAACATCAGCTCCAACGTAGTGTAATCAAATGAGACGTTATTGTTTGTAAGCTCGACGAAAAGAAACTTTAGAGCATTTGGAAACATTGGTGGAAGTTGTTAATCCATTCAGATTGCACCACCGTTTGACAAGACCGTTGAAATCTTCCTGTAGCCGCCCATTGAACAGCCCTTGTACGATACTAGAAATTATTGTATGAGTTAAAAATGTAGTTTAACGAGAGTCTCGTGTGGAAGCATTGTTTTTTTAATGCTAAGAAAATTAGTTTATCATCTGTAGAATGTTTTCTAATTGAAATTTAAAGTCTAAATGTACCTATGTGGTGTGTACCTATATAAGCGCACTCTAGACGCTTCTGTTGGCCTTGTCGTTTTGATGTTTTGACACAAAGTGGCAGCGTTTAACAAAGAGATTTGATATTTTGACTCTACTAGAAGCACATTATTTGTGGAAAAAAAATCATAATATTTGGCACGAAAAATATTCCAAATCGCGTTCCAAAACTTGGAAAATCGACTACTTTAAAATATGTGGTTTGGCTCATTTCCCCCCGTTAACTTACCGGC